TTGTCCCATTACTTTTGGTCCCTTAGCAAGTGGGAGGCACATATGCGAACTGTTGTAATTCCTACTCCGTTCACCTATTTGGATGTAAATACCCTCAAATTAAAGCTGAAAGTCTGCAGTTAAAGCACATCTTGTTCGTTTTATTTCAAACCCATTGTTACTATTTACCCCCCCCCCCCCCCCCCCCCCCCCCCCCCCCCCCCCCCCCCCCCCCCCCCCCCCCCCCCTACCCCCCGGTGGTGTAATAGAGCCAAAAATGTTAGAATTGTGTCGATGTCCCAATATTTATGGACCTGACTGTAATATACACACACATACATACGACACACAGAAAGCAATAGCACAGCAAAGAGATAACAGAAAGAAGCTTAGAGGGATTAAGCAGCTTCCAAGTTTTCTGAGCAAAAGGGCGTTTTCTCCCAAAGATTTGGTTCCAATGTAAAAAAAAGGGAGAATTCTTCAACTTAGCTCAACTCAGCTTAGCTTTTCTAGGAACTCCACAGGGTGTCTCCCTGACTCAGAGAACCAATCGCCTCATTTGGGGAGGGGGTTGTGTAGGCGGGGAGCTCAGGCTTTGACCAAAGCCTTCGCAAATTATACTACGGCCAATAACTTTTCCTAGGTACATATAACATTCTATCCACAAGTAGATTAATACCCAGAATCATCTGCTGAATGGTTAGATATGAAATATCTGCTTGAATGGTTAAGGAGATATTTTCTGCTCTACTGTGTATGTCAGATAGGAGGTGTAATATACAAGGCGACTTGTCTTACAGTGAGCCATCCGAATATGTGCTCCATGTTTGTATAATTATTTCCTATTTGAAGATATAAAATTATATGGAAAAGTAAGTTTTTAAATGTAAGTCTGTTTTTTACGATTCCCTGGAATGTCTTTTGAAGCTCAGCGAGGGCTCGGTTTATGACGTTACGACCCCTTCTCCAGCAAGAGTCTCGTAGACAGAGAGGCACCAGCTAGTGAGGTTTATAGCCATGACGCCCTCCCAATGAGTTTGCTGCTTGTGATCTGCATCAAACAGACCACATGTCACTCAACATAGAGGGAGGGGGGATATCGGAGGGAATCTGATTTGGGAGAGATACAATATGGAGGGGTTTGGAGCAAAACGGATGACCGCGTCCATCTCTGTGCGCACGGATGCTGCACCCCACATAGCAGAGCCCAATCAGGGATGTACTATGAGTATATTGAATACTTGCAAATGCAGCAATAGATGCAGTATATACTGACTGATTTAAATCAATGTTGATATCACACACTTCCAGCTGATTAAATCAGATGATATTGAATATACACCATTTATGGACAATGATTAAACCATATAGTGACTTATGTGAAGCTTGATGGTCTCACCACATTCTACCCACACGTTATGCAATGCCATCCCACACCTATATCCAAGGTGTAATAATAATAGCTGCTTGCCCCCGAGGTAGTAGAACACATGCATGTTAATGATAGATAAAACTGTGTCAGCTGTGGGATAATGTAATCAAACCTTCCACATGCTGATGGTAAACGCAGAGTATACAGCGGTGCGGTCCAGTCCACCAGCGGTGTAGGGATGCATGCAGAGTCTGCAGGTAATTGTCCCGTTGAGGGTATCGTGGGAGACCATATGGAAATGCAGGCAGAGTGCGCAGGGAAGAAATCCAGAGTGTGGCTGCCAAACAGCCGGGACTGCGCGGGCATCACCGGATGTGATGTAACACGTTTCGCCCACCGAGTCATGTGGGCTTCTTCAGCCTAAGGGCAGCCATGTTTGGGAAGTCCTTTATACTTGCAGGGAGCCTCACTTTCAGATATTCCTTACATGAGTGCTCCATAAATAATCAAACAAGAGCAAAGAAAAACACTGTCATCTCAAAAAGGAAAATGTACTGAGAACAGAATAGAACGGTTAAAACAATGGAACTGATACACTGTCATAGATCGAATTTTAAATATTCAGACCTCTACCCTATAGTGTATATAAAGTGTATGTGAGTGCGCACAGCAGGGGACTAAATTAAATAAATAAAAAATAATATATCCAAAAATAACAGAAAATAAATCAAAATTATTTAATATAACCAAAAATACATTTTAATCAAAAAAACTTAGGACACAAATTGCACGGCAAAGAATAGCATGCGATTAGAACGGGAATGCGATTCCTGTACAAATCGCTGGCGGTTTCCCCTCTGCTCCTGTGTGGACCGGGGCTTGTCATAGCCAGAGTTCACACAGGAGCGGTGCAGGGAGGTTTCCCACAGCGGAGAGTGGGCATGTCGGGGTGTATACTATGGTGGCAGATGCTCCGGGGTCTCAGCGGTAGGAGAGGAGAGAAAGTGGAGAAGATTTGAAATATCCGATGCTTTCTCTCCTCTCCTTGCGAGGATAACAGTTTCAGGCATGAGGGCTTTTGATTGGTCAGCACCGTCACATGGACGGTGTTGACCAATCAGATGCCGTTCTAGCCTGTACTGTCCTCCCTGCAAGGAGAGGAGAGAAAGCAGCGGAGATTTCAAATTTCAAGACCTGTGAAGTAGCTCTCCTCTCCTTGCAAGGATGACAGTTCGGACTTGAGTGCTTTTGATTGGTCAGGGCCGTCACATTTATATAATAAAAAACCCCAGTGGTGATCCAACATCACCAAAAGAAAAATTCTATTTGTGTGAAAAAATAAATAAATCTAAATTTAATTTTGGTACAGCGTTGCATGACTGTACAATTGGCAAAGTAGAGCTGTGAGGAATAGCAAAAAACAGCCCGCTCATGAACGGGATAAATTGTTCTGTGAGGTCAAGTGGTTATAAGGTGTGAGCTGGGGGGGGGGGGGGGGGGACATCAGAAATCAAAGTGTGCAATGTCCTCTTTAACCTCTACAGTACGCAAATATGCGGGCTCTTAGTGGCTGGGTCTTGACACTGAGTGGCCGCATATTTGCGTAAGATTTGTAAACAAACATGTTGTCAGGAATGGACTGGCCAGCAATGGGGGACTCACCTGCCTTTTGATCTGCAGTACCAGGGCTGGCCAGCGGGTGCTCCCAGCAATCAGAGACTCAACTTTGCAGCCAGCTAACACCTGGAACTGATTATGCTGGGGTATTTAAGGGATGGCCAGACCCACAGACTCTGCCTTGGTGTTGTGTGTTTGTCCTGGGCCCTGTATCCTGTTTCTGTCCTGCATCCTGTTTCTGTTCCTTTGCTGACCCTGCCTGATCTGAACCGCTGCTGACTTCTCCTGCTCTGATCCCGGCTTGCTCTTGACCATCCCTCTGCCTGACCCTCTGTACCACGCTGCTTGCTACCTGTTTTGATCCCTGGCTTGTGACCCTGACCATCCCTCTGCCTGACCCTCTGTACCACACGCTGCTTGCTACCTGTTCTGATCCCTGGCTTGTGACCCTGACCATCCCTCTGCCTGACCCTCTGTACTAACGCTGCTTGCTACCTGCTGAACCTGGCCTGTGACCCCGACCCATCTCCCGCTTGCTCCCCCTGTGTACCTACCTGCCCTATTGATATTGACCCGGCCTGCCTGACGACGCTTGCTTGTATGTACTGTTATCTGTGGGTGGTTTGGTTTGGTTTGTTTGCACTGTATTATGTTTTAGTATTGCACTGCGTTTATGTTTGTATGGTTAGTGTTAATAAATTATATTGTTTTTATAACATATCTGAGGTCTGCGTTTCCCTGCGTCAGCCACACACCTCTGGTCACACCTGGGAGCCCTGACATTACACCAAGGCCAATCCTGACCAGAAGTGGCTGCACAGGGAAGCCATCTTGGCTTCTTGATGATGGGAGGATGGATCTTGATGAGGTTGTGTATTTATCTCTGCTAGTGTTTGATGACAGGGAGTATGCTTATCAGACTCTGAAGGAGTATCCCCGGGATGAACTGCTAGAATGTATATACGGGCTCGCTCATGTTCTAGTAGATCAGGGCACAGAGTTCTCTATGGTGCAGCCATTGATTGAGGTTTGTGCTGAGTTGGTTTTCATCTGGTACCCCCGAATGCAGGGATGAATTTTTGCCACCATTTAGTGCAGACCAGGTAGAGTCCCTGGTGTGGTTATTTAGAGGATGATGTGGGTTACTTTCTGGAGCGTTATTCCACATGTTCACCACAGACACTAAGAGATTGTATAAACGCAGTGCAGTCATTGACCAGACAGGCTTTGTGTAAGCTCAGCTTTGTTCAACCCCTACTGCAGACATGGACAGACTTGTTGCACCCAGCCTCAGTCAGCTTACAAAGACCCCGTCCTGCTTCTAACTCTACTCCTGTATTCCCACCAGCTCCTCCAGTTACAGCCCAGTATACTTGGCTATCTACCGCATGTCAGTCCCCTGTTCCCACTCGCTGCACCTATCCTGCCTTTAACCCTGTAAAAAAGCCCTCTGTAGCAACTGCTCCCTCTCCTGTTCCATCCTCCAGTTTTTCTCTGTCTCCAGCTGCTCCATTCGTTTGCAGACCTGCGTTTACTTGCAGTGCTCCAGTAGTTAAAACCAGAAAAAAGCGAAAATTCTTTCCAACCAATACCATCCTGCCAGTATCCAAACCGGTGAACCTGCCTTCCGTGACTCAGCCTAAAGCCTCTACTCAGCCGGAAGCCTCTACTCAGCCGGAAGCCTCTACTCAGCCGGAAGCCTCTCTTCAGCCGGAAGCCTCTCTTCAGCCGGATGCCTCTCTTCAGCCGGATGCCTCTCTTCAGCCGGATGCCTCTCTTCAGCCGGATGCCTCTCTTCAGCCTGAATGCCTCTACTCAGCCTGAATGCCTCTACTCAGCCTGAAGCCTCTCTACTCAGCCTGAAGCCTCTACTCAGCCTGCCTGCATTCAGCCTGATGCCTCTACTCAGCCTGATGCCTGCACTCAGCCTGATGCCTCTACTCAGCCTGATGAACTGACTCCAGCCCGACGCCTATTAGGCCAGTTGACTCGATGCCCGCTGTTGATCCAGACCTGGTACCTGATTCAGTGCCCGCTATCGTGCCAATTGACTCAGCCCGCTGTCATACCAGACCCGGTGCCCACTGCCTTGCCAGATGACGCGGTGCCCGCCTGCAAGCCAAATGACCTGATGCCTGATGCCCGCTGTCATACCTGGTGACCCGATCCAGTGCCCGCTGTCGAGCCCAGACAATCCGCTGTACCTGATGACCCGGTGCCCACTGCCGTGCCTGTTAACTCGGAGCCCACTGTCTTGCCAGACTGACTCGGTGCCCGCTGTTCCGCCAGACGACTCGGTGCCCGCCGTCTTGCCAGACGACTCGAAGCTGGTTGCCTGCTGTTCCGCCAGTGTTGGCTCGTCTGCCCCAGTCTTGCGAGTGACTCGGTGCCCGCAGGTCTTGCCAGACGACTCGGTGCCCGCAGTCTTGCCAGACGACTCGGTGCCCGCAGTCTTGCCAGACGACTCGGTGCCCGCAGTTCCGCCAGTTGACTCGGTGCCCGCTGTTCCGCCAGTTGACTCGGTGCCCGCAGTCTTGCCAGACGACTCGGTGCCTGCTTTCGTGCCTGGTGACTCGGTGCCCGCAGCTTGTCCAGATGGGGCCCGTGCCTGTTGCTCCCGCCTGAGGGCCCGACGACCTGTCGCCGCATCTGGGGGCCAGACGACCCGCCGCTCCGTCCTGAGGGGCCCGAGACTCTGTGCTCGCAGTGGGGGCCAGTGCCCGACTCGGCTCCGCCTGAGGGCCCAGACCTGTCGCGCCATCTGGGGGACTCGATGCCCGCCGCTCCGCCAGGGCTCGAGACCCTGCAGCTCCGCCTGGGGGTCCGGCGGCCCGCCGCTCCGCCTGGGGCCCGATGCCTGTCGCCCGCCTGGGGGCCCGATGCCTGTCGCCCATGCCTGGGGCCCGATGACCTGTCGCCCCGCCTGGGGGCCCGATGCCTGTCGCTCCATCTGGGGGTCCGGCGCCCGCCGCTCCGCCTGAGGGCCGAGACCTGTCGCCTGCCTGGGGGCCCGATGCCTGTCGCCCCGCCTGGGGTCCGGCGCCCGCCGCTCCGCCTGAGGGCCCGAGACCTGTCGCTCCATCTGGGGGTCCCCGGCGCCCGCCGCTCCGCCTGAGGGCCCGAGACCTGTAGCTCCGCCTGGGGGTCCGGCGCCCGCCGCTCCGCCTGGGGCCCGAGGCCTGTCGCCTGCGCCTGGGGGCCCGAGGCCTGTCGCCCCGCCTGGGGGGCCCGAGGCCTGTCGCCCCGCCTGGGGTCCGAGGCCTGCCGCCCCGCCTGGGTGCCCGAGACCTGTAGTTCCGCCCCGCCCGGGGCCCGAGGTGCCTGCCGCCCCCCGGTGGGCCCGCTGCCTGCCGCTTCGCCTGGTAGCCCGATGTGCCCTCGCCCGGAGTCCTGCCCGATGTGCCTCTGCCGGAGTCCTGCCCGATGTGCCTCTGCCCGGAGTCCTGCCCGATGTGCCTCTGCCCGGAGTCCTGCCCGATGTGCCTCTGCCCGATGTGCCCTCGGGCCCGCCCCGAGTCCAGCCCGATGTGCCTTCTGCCCGAGTCCAGCCCTGGGTGTGCCTCTGCCCGGAGTCCAGCCCGGTGCCGCCTCTGCCCGGAGTCCCAGCCCGGTGTGCCTCTGCCCGGAGTCCAGCCCGGTGTGCCTCTGCCCGGAGTCCCAGCCCGGTGTGCCTCTGCCCGGAGTGCCTCTGCCGGAGTCCAGCCCGATTTGCCTCTGCCCGGTGTACCGCTGCCCGGAGTCCTGCCCGGTGTGCCAGTCTTTGATATCCCGCCAGTTACCAGACCCCGGGCGGTGGAACATTTTTCCCAGCTAGGACTGTTTGGAGCGTCCTGAGGCCCACTCCTTGAGGGGGGGGTACTGTCAGGAATGGACTGGCCAGCAATGGTGGGACTCACCTGCCTTTTGATCTGCAGTACCAGGGCTGGCCAGCGGATGCTCCCAGCAATCAGAGACTCAACTTTGCAGCCAGCTAACACCTGGAACTGATTATGCTGGGGTATTTAAGGGATGGCCAGACCCACAGACTCTGCCTTGGTGTTGTGTTTGTCCTGGGCCCTGTATCCTGTTTCTGTCCTGCATCCTGTTTCTGTTCCTTTGCTGACCCTGTCTGATCTGAAATGCTGCTGACTTCTCCTGCTCTGATCCCGGCTCGCTCCTGACCATCCCTCTGCCTGACCCTCTGTACCACGCTGCTTGCTACCTGTTTTGATCCCTGGCTTGTGACCCTGACCATCCCTCTGCCTGACCCTCTGTACTACGCTGCTTGCTACCTGCTGAACCTGGCCTGTGACCCCGACCCATCTCCGCTTGCTCCCCCTGTACCTACCTGCCCTATTGATATTGACCCGGCCTGCCTGACGACGCTTGCTTGTATGTACTGTTATCTGTGTGGTGGTTGGTTTGGTTTGTTTGCACTGTATTATGTGTTTTAGTATTGCACTGCGTTTATGTTTGTATGGTTAGTGTTAATAAATTATATTGTTTATAACATATCTGAGGTCTGCGTTTCCCTGCGTCAGCCACACACCTCTGGTCACACCTGGGAGCCCTGACACATGTGCTCACAGTGGCTAAATGGTTAGCACTTCCGCCTGGCAGTACTCAGATTGTCGGTTCAAATCCCAACCACGGCACCACCTGCCTGGAGTTTGCATGTTCTCCCTGTGCCTGCGTGGGTTTCTTCCGGGTACTCCGGTTTCCTCCCACACTCCAAAGACATGCTGGGAAGTGAATTGGCTCCTGTCTAAATTGGCGCTAGTATGTGTATGTATGAATGTGAGTTAGGGATCTTCAATTGTACGCCCCTTGAGGGTCAGGAGTGATGTGAATGTACAATATACACAGGTAAAACTCGAAAAATTAGAATCTGGTGCAAAAGTTCATTTATTTCAGTGCAGCAACTTATAAGGTGAAAATAATATATGAGATATTATGGAATGGAGAGGCCCAAGGACCCCGAGTATGGAGGAAGAATGGAGAGGCACACACTGCAAGACACTTGAAGTCCAGTTTGTAGTTTCCACAGTCTGTGTTGATTTGGGGAGCCATGTCATCTGCTGGTGTTGGCCCACTGTGCTTCATTAAGTCCAGCGTCAACGCAACCGTCTACCAGGAGATTTTGGAGCACTTCATGCTTCCTTCCACAGACGAGCTTTATGGGGATGCTGACTTCATTTTCCAGCAGGACTTGGCTCCGCCCACACTGCCAAAAGCACCAAAACCTGGTTCAATGACCGTGGGATTACTGTGCTTGATTGGCCAGCAAACTGCCTGACCTGAACCCCATAGAGACTCTATGGGGAATTGCCAAGAGAAAGATGAGAGACATGAGACCGAACAATGCAGAAGAGCTGAAGGCCGCTATTGAAGCATCCTGGTCTTCCATAACACCTCAGCAGTGCCACAGGCTGATAGCTTCCATGCCACGCCGCATTGAGGCAGTAATTGCTGCAAAAGGGGCCCATACCAAGTACTGAGTACATATGCAGCTTCTACTTTTCAGAGGTCCGATATTGTTCTATGTACAATCCGTGTTTTATTGATTGCATGGAATATTCTACTTTTTCTGAGATTGTGGATTTGGGGTTTTCATGAGCTGTAAGCCATAATCATCACAAATATGACAAATCACGGCTTGAACTATCTTGCTTTGCATGTAATGAGTCTATCTCATATATTAGTTGTCACCTTTTAAGTTACATTACTGAAATAAATGAACCTTTGCACAATATTCTAATTTTTTGAGTTTCACCTGTATATAAAGTGCCGTGTAAATTGACAGCTCTATAGAAGTACCTGTAATTAAAAAAATAAATGTGCTGAGATCACACGCTCTTCACACTCCCAGCACATGTCAACATCCCACAGAAAGGTTGCAGTTGGGACCTTTCCAATCTTGTGACTGCCATGACAGTCACATGACCATAAACCATGCCCCACCTTTTGGCATCAGAAACCCCTGAAAGGGCCAGGAGGTGCCGGTGTGAAGGGGTTAATGGGGAGGTATTACAGCAGAAGTCAACATTGTATAAGAAGAATATCTGACCAAGCTGACCATAGATTGTTAGTTTTGTTTTTGTTTTTTTACTGGGCCTCTACAGTTCCTATAGTTGGCGTGAAGACTGGTACTCTTAGGGGTTGTTTTTGCTCTGCCAGAGGGCTGAACGGAAAAAAAAAAAATGAACAGATTCCTCCCTCCACAAAAACAAGTTGTAAGGAGGAATCTCCCACCAGGACACTGTATTCTGGTGGCGGGGGCTCAACGCTGTCAGAATACATTGCACCTACGGCTGACCCGGACACATTTCCATTCATCTATGGCCAGCTTAAATTCAGCAATGGTGACTGAAGAATCCTCCACCATACAAATCCCTCATTACACATATTGATGATCCAAATCGGATCTTAGCGCTCAGTATCATCGCTCTGTGTCGTCTCTCTGTATCGTCGCTTCTTGTCGTCGCTCTGCGTCAGCACTGTGTCGTCGCTCTGCATCGTCGTCACTCTGTGTCATCGTCGCTCTACGTCATCATCACTTTGTATCGTCGTTACTCTGTGTCATCGTCGCTCTGCGTCATCATCACTCTGTATCGTCGTCGCTCTGTATTGTCGTCGCTCTATGTCATCATCGCTCTGTATCGTTGTCGCTATGTGTCGTCGCTCTACGCCATCATCGCTCTGCGTCCTCATCACTCTGTATTGTCGTCGCTCTACGTCATCATCGCTCTGTATCGTCTCTGTGTCGTTGCTCTACGTCATCATCGCTCTGTATCGTCGTCGCTCTACGTCAGCTCTGTGTCGTCGCTCCCTGTCATCGTTCTGTATTGTCGTCGTCGCTCTGTGTCGTCGCTCTGCATCAGCTCTGTGTCGTCGCTTCTTGTCGTCGCTCTGTATCGTCGTCACTTTGTGTTGTCGCTCAGCGTCAGCTCTGTGTCGTCGCTCAGCGTCATTGCTCTGTATAGTTGTCGCTCTGTGTCATCGCTCTGTATTGTCATCGCTCTACTTCATCATCGCTCTGTATCGTCGTCACTCTGTGTCATCGCTCTACGTCCTCATCGCTCTGTACCGTCATCGCTCTACATCACCATCGCTCTGTATCGTCGTCGCTCTACGTCCTCATCGATCTGTATCGTCGCTCTGTGTCATTGCTCTACGTCATCATCGCTCTGTATCGTCGCTCTGTGTCGTTGCTCTACAACATCATTGCTCTGTATCGCTCTACATCATCATCGCTCTGTGTCATCGCTCTGTATCGTCGTCACTCTACGTCATCATCGCTCTGTATCATCATCACTCTGTGTCGTTGCTCTATGTCCTCATCGCTCTGTACCGTCGCTCTACGTCCTCATCGCTCTGTATCCTCGCTCTGTGTCGTTGCTCTACAACATCATCGCTCTGTATCGTTGTCGCTCTACGTCAGCTCTGTGTCGTCGCTCTGCGTCAGCTCTGTGTCGTTGCTCCGTGTCATTGTTCTGTATCGTCGTCACTCTGCATCAGCTCGTGACGTCGCTCTGCATCGTCGCTTCTTGTCGTCGCTCTGCGTCAGCGTTCTGTATCTTCGTCGCTCTGCGTCAGCTCTGTGTCGTCGCTCTGAGTCAGCTCTGTGTCGTCGCTCTGCCTCATCGCTCTGTATAGTTGTCGCTCTGTGTCATCGCTCTGTATCGTCGTCACTCTACGTCATCATCGCTCTGTATCGTCGTCGCTCTGTGTCGTCACTCTGTGTCATCACTCTACGTCCTCTTCGCTCTGTACCGTCACTCCTCTACGTCCTCATCGCTCTGTATCGTCGTCGCTCTATGTCCTCATCGCTCTGTATCGTCGTCGCTCTATGTCCTCATCGCTCTGTATCGTCGTTGCTCTACATCGTCGTCACTCTGTGTCGTCGCTCTACGTTCTCATCGCTCTGTACCGTCGCTCTACGTCCTCATCGCTCTGTATCGTCGTCGCTCTATGTCCTCATCGCTCTGTATCGTCGTTGCTCTGTGTCATCGCTCTACATCGTCGTCACTCTGTGTCGTCGCTCTACGTTCTCATCGCTCTGTACCGTCGCTCTACGTCCTCATCGCTCTGTATCGTCGCTCTACGTCCTCATCGCTCTGTATCGTCGTCGCTCTACGTCATCATCGCTCTGTATCGTCGCTCTACGTCATCATCGCTCTGTATTGTCGCTCTGTATCGTCGCTCTGTGTCGTCGCTCTACATCATCAACGCTCTGTATTGTCGCTCTGTATCGTCGCTCTACATCATCATCGCTCTGTGTCGTCGCTCTACGTCATCATCGCTCTGTGTCGTCGCTCTACGTCATCATCGCTCTGTGTCATCGCTCTACGTCATCATCGCTCTGTGTCATCGCTCTACGTCATCATCGCTCTGTGTCGTCGCTCTGTGTTGTTGCTCTATGTCATCATCGCTCTGTATATTAGGACGAGTTCTATTTAGTCTTACCTTCCTGGGTTGCGAAGATGCGATCTGGGAGCTCTGAACACGGAGGATGTTGAGAGGCGTAGGAGTGTAACTGGAACAGTTTTGGCTTCTACAGCAGGTCAGCTGGACTGTGCTATATACAGATATTGAGTCAGTTGACAAGCTATTTGATTTCTCTAGTCCAGCGGTTTCCAAACTGCGGCCCGAGGGCCAGATACGGTCCTTTGCTAGCCTTCATCTGGCCCTTGGGGTAATAGTCCTCCCACTGATATGAGGCACGAATCCTTCCACCGACACCAACAGTGGGGAATAAATCCGAATGAAATTTGTTGGTTACTTTTCTCCTTGTATGCTGGTTATCCCTGCAGGGATCTCTCCCTCCTTCAGCTGCTGTAAATCTTCTCTTCAATCCTCTCCTAGATGTTCCTCCCCTTTTTATTAGCACTGATCACTGTATTGGTGTCACTGGGGATGGCAGTGACACCAAGACTGTTTCCCCCCCCCCCCCGTGTCAGAATGCCCGCCGCAGTCCCGCTCTAAGTCGCTACATTACTAGTAGAAATATTTTTTTTAAATCCCAGTATCTATACCGCCATTTGTAGACCAATTAATTTACACGTATTGGGATTTTTTCAGCAAAGACACGGAGAAAAATACATTTTGGCCTAAATTGATGAGGAAATTTGATTTTTTTTTTTTCTTACTGGAAATGTTTAATAGAAATGGAAATTTTTTTTCTCCTCAAAATTGTCGGTCTTTTTTTTTTTTTAATACCTCAAAAAATTAAAAAACGCACAGGCGATCACATACCACTGAAAAAAAGCTCCATTCATGGGGGGGAAAAAAAATAACATAAATTTAATTTGGGTGCAGCGTTGCACGACCGCGCAATTGTCTGTTACGCAAAGCATGGCCTGGTCAGGAGGGGGGGGGTAAATCTTCAGGAGGGGTTAAAATTTTAATAGCGTTTCCGGATTGCGGTGCTCAGATGCAGTTCTGCTTTAGGGCT